CTCCTCCTCCTCCTCCTCCTCCTCTCATTGCCGCCGTAGCTCTCGGGCTCCCAGCACTGTGAGCAGAAATCTAATGAGAGCCAACTGGCTGTTTATGTAATTCCTCACTCCCCTGTCTTAAGGCGTTGCTTGCAAACCACCTTCCCCCCCAGCCTACAACCCGCTCGGCTGCACCTTCAGCAACCTCGCTCCTTCGGCCGCCTTGTCCGGCCCTTGGGCTTTCGGCTTTGGAAAGTGTTTGTAGTTTTGGGAGCAGCCAGGGTTCTTTCCCTTTGTCACCGCCAATATGGAAAATGGAACGGACGGATTTGCACCAACTTTTTTTTTTTTTTAAATGCCCTTTTCAATCAACCTCAGTGTACAGATCTCCTTAGTAAATGCCTTCTGTTCGCCCTTGGTCTTTTCGTATCCCCGCCCAGTGCTGATCTAGCAAACGTTTAAAGGTCGACCTTACCCTGTGTGCCTCTGCCCCTCCACTGTTCTCTTATCTGGAGAGGGAGGGAGGTGACTTTTAAAATCCGACTAAAACTGAGCAGTCCTGCCCTTTACACAGAGAAATCAATAAGTGTTGCTTTTGTGACAAGAGGTATTTAAGATTTGGAAAAACACTCTGAGAGAAAGAGAAGCCCAGGACCACATTGTGTGTCCTTAGTTTGATAGGGTAGAGTATAGAATAATTGGTTCCTAATTTCAGTCCCTCTTTTTTTTTTTTTTTTTCTGATACTGGGGATCGAACCCGGGATCTTGAGCTTTGGAGGCAGGCGGCAGAACCACGGAGTTAAATCCCCTGCCCAGGTTCCTAATTTCATTCACTGCACCGATGGTTTGTTTAGAATTTAGTACCTATAATTTTTAGCATCATGGAGTTTGGAAATTAAAATTATTTTCCTAACTTGTCAAGTTTCTGAATCTTTAATGTATGTCTATCTTGTAAACAAGATAGATCCAGAAGGAACTAAAATACAGGACTTGCTTCTACATTGATGACTAGCAATAAAAATCATGCTGAACTTCCAAAAATGGGGTATATAGCCGTGGGCTTGCCCAGTAGTTTCCAGTAAATATTCTTTTTTTTTTTTCTTTTTTGGTACCGGGGATCGAACTCTCCAGTAAATATTCTTGTGAAAGTTAAGGGAGGAGGGCCGGGGATTTAGCTCAGTGGTTTCGCCGCCTGCTACGCGAGCGCAAGGACCCGAGTTGGATCCCCGGTACCAAAAAAAGAATAATTTAAAAAAAGAAAGTTGAGGGAGGAAAATAATCCATATTCCAGAGATGCACAGAATTCTGCACAGAAACACAGTACATAATGAGGATTAAACAATAGTTTTACCTGTAATGTATATTTTCCCATGAAATTTTGAACTTTAATAAATAAGTTTTTGATTGTATATGTCTGTATTTTGTACTGATTTTATTTATAGGCTCTCTGCCCTACTAGACATTTTCAAAAGTGCAATTAAGGGGAAAAAAAAGGTTATGGGATTTACATTACATTTGTCTTATTTGGACATCTTTGCTTTTGTTTTGTTTTCTTAAAGGAGCAAGACCTCTCAAAGTGAAGGATTATCTACTCATACCAGCACTTTGGATGAAAATCTGTTTCTTTGCCACAGACTGAACATTTCTTACTGTTTTTTGTTTTTGTGTGTGTGTGTGTGTGTGGAGGAGTTGAAACAAACCTAACTTTGTGGCATAGCAGCTATGCAGCTTGAAATCCAAGTAGCACTAAATTTTATTATTTCCTATTTGTACAATAAGCTTCCTAGGAGACGTGTCAACATTTTTGGTGAAGAGCTTGAAAGACTTCTTAAGAAGAAATATGAAGGGCACTGGTACCCCGAAAAGCCATACAAAGGATCAGGGTTTCGATGCATCCATGTAGGGGAGAAGGTGGACCCGGTCATCGAGCAGGCATCCAAGGAGAGTGGCTTGGACATCGACGATGTGCGTGGCAATCTGCCCCAGGACCTGAGCATCTGGATCGACCCGTTTGAGGTTTCCTACCAGATCGGCGAGAAGGGACCGGTGAAAGTGCTGTATGTGGACGACAGTAATGAAACCGGATGTGAGCTGGATAAGGAGATCAAAAACAGCTTCAACCCGGAGGCGCAGGTTTTCATGCCCATAAGTGATCCAGCCTCCTCCGGGTCCAGCTCCCCGTCGCCGCCCTTCGGTCACTCTGCTGCCGTGAGCCCCACCTTCATGCCCCGCTCCACCCAGCCTTTAACCTTCACTACTGCCACTTTCGCTGCCACCAAGTTCGGCTCCACCAAAATGAAGAACAGCGGCCGGAGCAACAAGGTGGCCCGTACTTCTCCCATCAACCTGGGCCTGACCGTGAGCGACCTCCTGAAGCAGAAAGCCATCTCGTCCTCCATGCACTCTGTGTACGGGCTGAGCCTGGGGACCCCGCAGCAGCCCCAATCCCAGCACCAGCAGCAGCAGCAGCAGCCGCCACCGTCCCAGGCACCGCCACCGCCACCGCCCCCGCAGCAGCAGCAGCAGAAAACCTCTGCGCTCTCTCCCAATGCCAAGGAATTTATCTTCCCCACTATGCAGGGTCAAGGTAGCAGTGCCAGTGGGATGTTCCCAGGTGACAGCCCCTGTAACCTCAGTCCTCTCCAGTACAGCAATGCCTTTGACGTGTTTGCGGCCTATGGAGGCCTCAACGAGAAGTCTTTTGTAGATGGCTTGAATTTTAGCTTAAATAACATGCAGTATTCTAACCAGCAATTCCAGCCGGTCATGGCGAACTAAAAAGAAAACGAGAATCGTATCATCTGAGTTGAGTTGCACAGGCCCAAGGGGGATTTTTTTTTTTTTTGAAACCTCCTTGAGATTTTTTCTTTTAAGCTTATAGTAAGGATACGTTCAGGCTTGGTTACAAAAATAAAACATGCGTCATTTTTCATTTGCCAACCAAGCACAAAGTTATTTTATACTGACTGTATATTTTAAAGTATCCGCTCAGATATGGCCTCTTACAGTATTTAAGATATAGCGAGGACATGGCTGATTTTTTTTTTTATGAAAAATTGGCACTAATAAGTGGGTTTATGGTCTTTTCTAATTGTATAATTTAATTTAGTACAAAGTTTGTAAAATATCAGAGGATATATATATTGTTTCTACGACATGGATTGCATTTATATCTTTTTACTACAGTGATCTGTGACAGCAGCAGCTTCATGTTGTATTTTTTTTACTGAAATTGTAAAATATCCATCTTAAAGACATCAACTATTCTCAAAATTGTGTACAGGATATTCCTTTAGTGGTGGAATTAAAAATGTACGAATATTTGCTTTTTCAAAAAAAATGTATTTTCTGTTAAAGGTTTAAAGATTTTTGCTATATATTATGGAAGAAAATGTAATCGTAAATATTAATTTTGTACCTATATTGTGCAATACTTGAAAAAAACGGTATGAAAGTATTTTGAGTCAGTGTCTTACATGTTAAGAGGGACTGAAATAGTTTATATTAAGTTTGTATTAAAATTCTTTAAAATTCAAAATGCCTGTTGCATGGTCTTTGATGTTAAGAAAGTTGTAAGGCTGGAAATGTGTTGTGAAGCTAACGAAGAAAGATCTTACTCGTTGAGTCACAAGGGAATGGTGGAAAGGCCTCTGAGTACATTAGGTAGTGGTTTGCTGCAAAAAAAGTGCCACCAAAACCATGCTGCTGGCCAACCCTTGGAACAACTTTGGGTTTTGGTTTTTTGAGACAGGTTCTCGAACTCTCAGTGATCTTCCTGCCTCAGCCTCCTGAGTGCTGGGGTTACAGGCAGTTCCACTACTCCTAGCCTGTTCATTGTGGCAATGAGAATTGAACTCAGGCTTCATAGCCAGGACAGGTTTATTTTTAATAACCCTCATCAGCCAGGGTGTCTGCCTTTCCATGACAGAGATGGTATGCTGAGCCTATTATTATATAGCAGATTTATTTTGTTTGTTTTTTTGGTTTTGTACCGGGGATCAAACTTGGGACCTTGCACTTTCGAGGCAGGCAGCGGAACCAGTGAGCTAAATCCCTGGCCCCCCAAAGTTTTAAATGTCATGCTGATGTCTAGAGTGCCAAGGAATACGAAATTCGCTTGTAGTCAGGATTTTCTTGAAATGTACACGGAGAGACCATGGGATCACTTTTCTTTCATGTGAGATGAATAGCTCAAAACTTGGTCAGACAAATCAGCAGACTTACCTTAAAAGAAAAGATTTGGATCTGTTTACTACCTTCACACAGTTCAGTTCACACCTAGAGAATTTGTGGCCAGAATCTGTTCACATTTGGACAGGTTGCTAAATGTTACTATTTGTGCTCATTTTTTCAGCAAAACGTTTTTTTGCAAGTGGTATCCAACCCTGCTGGGTGAGGGTTCTTTTTTTTTGTTTTTGTTTTTGTACTGGGTCTTGCTATGTAACCTAGGCTGGCCTTGAATTTGAGGCAATCCACCTGCCTCAGCCTCCCGAGTGTGCGCCTGGCTGGTTTGAGGTCTCAATGATTAGTTTCTGGCTTTGTGTCATATTGTAGGGTCTTGCTGAGGATGGTGTTTTATAAAACTATAATGAATTAAAAGAACACCTTTAAATCATTTTACTGTTCAAACGTCCACAGAGACAGACTTAACGCTGCATTGGTGAGAAAACTATCTTAAACTGGAAATGAGAAACAACTCTACTTTCATTGTAAGAATCCAGTGCTCTGTGGATTTCCAGTGAAATAAATCTGGTGTCCAATGTGTGGATACCAGTCTACAAAAGCCTTTTGTCCCTTAGCCATGCAGCGTAGAGCAATGAGAAGTTTGAAGGAAATAAGCCCTGGGAATAACAGAGCCAGGCTGTTCAGTCGGCTCCATGGTGAGGCTTTGTCCCTCAGCGGACAGAATGAGGCTAGGAAGAAGCATGGGGACGCCGAGGGGACAGCAGGCCGGCTCACCAGTCTGGGCAGCTCTTAGGGCAACCAGGAAGAGCTCAGCCCCACACTCGGCAAAGTCATTGTAGGAAAACAAGGTGGAGAAAGGCTGGCGGGGCCAGCGTCCTTTTTGTGAGAACCAGAGAAAGGCAACCGGACAGTCCTCAGCAGAACCTGTAACAGGCGAACGCTGACCCACATTCTGACTTTAGATACAGACCTCTCCGTGCAGGTTCGAGGTCGGGAAGTCGCAGGGTCACCATGGTGCACGCATGTTATGTTAGCGTGGCTCAAGAGAAGCACTAACACACACTCTATCTTGATTGTTTTCATGAAAACTGTTAGTCAGAGCTTGATGTCCTTGAGGACTTTTTTTTTTTTACTAGAGAATGAACAAAGGCCCTGTTTTCTATGAGCCTTTCTGCTCATTAGAAATGGAAAAAATTTTTAAAGTGCCTTTGTCTGTCACATGGTAGAAGAGCTCACATCTGAATCCCAAGTCTTTCTCCCCATGGGCCGTCGCTTGTGGCCTCTTCTTGAAGCCTGCTTGGTGACAGTTTGAGGAGCCTTGAAGACACCTGAGACCCTGTCCTCATGTCCAACACATGCCCCACGGGTTCCATAGCTCCCAAACTGCAGCCATCAGTGGAACATATTTTACTGATAACAAATCACTGTGATTAGTTAACATAGCTTTGGAAGGGGAAACTAAAGGAGCTTAAAATGCTTTTCAAATATGTGTTGTTATTTAATCCCATTCACATATAGATATCTTAAGTATTAGCATCTTAGTTGAGAGATGTAACAAGAGTTCAGGACTTACGTTATTTTAAAATAAGTCACTGGCCCAGCATGGTGGCGTACACCTGAAATCCTAGGACTCAAGAGGCTGAGCCAGGAAAAACAGCAAGAGTTCAAGGCCAGCCTGGGCTACATAGTGAGTTCAAGGCCAGCCTGGGCTACATAGTGAAACCCTGTCTCAAAAAAAACAGGGCCGGGAATGTAGCTCAGCAGCACAGCGCCTACCTGGCAAGCGAGAGGCCCTCGGTTCAATTCACAGTACCAAAAAACAAAAACAAAAGTCACTGAAACATAAGGAAAGTAAAGTGTGTCTTCTTTTTTTTTTTTGGTACTGGGGATCGAACTCGGGTCCTTGTGCTTTTGCAGCAGGCGGCGAAACCACTGAGCTAAATCCCTGGCCCATGTCTTTTTTTTATTAGCATTAAGCTAATGAAGTAAAATGATCGGAGAGCTTCCTCCACACTCTTTCCCTACACAGACAAGGAGGGCCTGCAGGCATGGTCCACCCAATGTACAGTTCAGGACCTGCTGCAGATACTAAAAGCTAGGGATGCTCAAGTCCCTAACATTAAAAAGGCCTAGTATTTGCCTGCATTCAACCTATGTGCATCCTCTCCTGAACTTAAATTAATTTCTAGATTATTTATAATACCTAACAACGTAAATGACATGTAAATAGCTCTTAGACTATAATTTTTTAGGGAATAATGGCAAAAACCTTTTTTTCAAATATTTTCTACCCGTGGTGATTTGAATTCATGGGTGCAGAATTGGCAGATAGAAGGGCGGCTGTCCATCCTGGTCTGGCAGGATGTGTTCAGCTCCAGTGCGTGAACAGTTGAGAGGGAAACAGCCTTATTAAAGGCAAGTATGTGAAAGTGTCCTTGCTGAATAAAATCCAGTACAATGGTTAGTAAGCCAACTAGTAGAAGTTTAATCAGTCTAGCCCAGGAGCTCACTTGGGATCAGAGTTCTTGAGGGTTTTTTGAGACCAGATCTTGCCATGCAGTTCAGGCTGGCCTTGAACTCACTATGTAGCCCAGGCTGGCTAGGATCCCAGGTGTGCTCCACCAAGCCCAGCCAAGTCCTTTGGTTTTCTGTAGTATACTAGGAAGGTACTACTTTCTTGTCTGGAAGATCTAGGCTCAATATCTTTGTGCACGCAATTGGAAAATTAGGACACACATGTTTGTTGAAGCCATTTTTTATCTTGTAAATGATTTATTTAACAAATACTCATATACCATTATGTGGCAAGCACTGTTCTAAGCAAATTTATGGACCAGAGAGGGATGGAGGTTGGAGGAGTGGAGAGGGGACTGAGGTACAAAAGGCTTAATACACCCAAGACCTCATGGCTAATAAGTGGCAGATATGGGATTCCAACTCACATAGCTGCTTCAGCATTCCCTGTCCTAAGCCCTATACTTTGTTCCCCTCTGATCTGTTAGTATTCTGATTTGAAGCTGGGGAATAAATCCATTTTTGATCTATTAGCCACATCCCTTGTACAATTCTACAGAAGCGTAATGAGAAGGGTCTAGTGGAAGGCTGTTATATTACCCACATGTATTGGTCAGTTTTGCACTACTGTAACAAAATGCCCGGGGCAATTAACTTATAAGAAAAAAAGGTCTATTAACCTCCCATTGCTTAGGCCTCTGGTGTGGGCACCAGCTGGCCATCGTGGGGATGCCTGTTGGTGAAACTGCTCAAACCATGAACCAGGGAGAAAAGAGAGACAGGACCCGGGAATCTCATAATCCCCTAGGCCCCTCCCACAGGCCCACCTCTTAAAGGCGCACAGACCTCCCAACAGGGCTGCCTGCACATGAACTCAGGGGGAGTTCCAAGTCACAGCACCATGCACAGGAGTCAGGGTATTTGGAGAGAGATACTTTATATTTCCATTGGCCATAAACTATAATCATAGGCTATCTAGAAATGTTTTTAGAAATCATTAAGTTATATCAATGCTCTAATTTTGTTGATTCTCTTAATTCAGTCTCATAATTACTTTTCTTATTTTAGAAGTACTGGGTGATTCCTGGGCCTAAATATTGTAGATGTAGTGCTAAGGATACAGCTCAGCATGCATGAAGGCCTGGGTTAGATCTCCAGTACTGAAAAAAAAATAACACTTCATTTTAGAAGCATAACCTATGCTGGATGTCCTTTTCTTGTTTTGGTAGCAGCATTGGGGATTGAACCCAGGACCTGAGCTACATCTCCAGCTTTATTATTATTATTATTATTATTTTATTTTATTTTATTTTTTTTTGAGACAGATTCTTGGTAAATCTCTTAGTTGCCCAGGCTGGGGTGAAATTTGCAATCTTCCTGCCTCAGCCTTCCTGCCCAGAGTGCTAGGATTACAGGTGTGTACCACCAGGCTCAGCTAATTTATATTTAAACTGCACAATAAACAAAGAAGCCCACTTTGAAAAATGCCCCAAGCGGGGATTTAGCTCAGTGGTTTTGCCGCCTGCCTCACAAGCACAAGGTCCTGAGTTTGATCCCTGGTACCAAAAAAAAAGCCCCAAAACAATTTCTATAGTTTATGTATGAATTAATATGTGACATTGCCTAGGATTTATATTTTTATATTTACATTTTTAGGTTAGTCAGACTTTGATTGGATTAAATACTATTGAACCCTTAGGTGGGCTTTTGGAAGTTTAGACTGTACCATCAGTCTTGTTATTAATGAAACTTGACTTGTAAATAGTAAATATCTATCCATTTCTCAATATTTGAGATATATAAGATTTTATATTTTAGAAGACTTGCTATACATGTTAG